AGTATATCGATCGCTACAAAATATAATGTGAAATAATAAAGTGAGCATGATTTCAATAAATAAGAAATGATTACTTACAATTTAATCCTTGATTTTAAGAAAATCCTAATACTTCGTTTAAATTACACTTATGGCTGTCTTTTTTTCTTCATAAAAAAAGAATAGATGGGGTTTATTCATTGTTGAGTATTACCATTGGTTTAAGCAAGGCAGAGGCACCTCCTGTTTTTAGTATTTAAATGTTTTGTGACAGTGATTCCCACCATGTGTGGCAAAACCTCCCTTTTTGAAAGGATTTACGCTAATTTACAGCAAGGGTTCTATTTGTATATTCAACAAATTCGAAAGCCGCTTTTCAAAGTGATTTTCACCCCTGATAAAATTTAAGATCCACAAGCATTTTAGGGTATGATAATTGCGCTAAACTGGACAGGGACACCTCATGGTTTTCACATCTCTTTGCCCTCTGTCACCACCAAAGGACTATTCTCTATGCCTGCAGGTGTTCTATTCATCCCCAGATAATTGGCCTTTTACAACCTAGTAATGTGATATGAAGAGATGTTTATCTTGTCTTTTTCCTTGTGGTACGGGAAAAAGAAAGATTTATCTGAGGATCGGATCATTGGAAGTTTTTATTCTGCATTCTGGAGAGTTTTCTAAATGAATCTTTTCAATGTTTTATTTATTTTTTTGAAATTTGTATTATTGTTTTTAAAATTTGTATTAGTATACGAGTTAAATTAATTTTTTTAAAACAAGCAAAATATCAAAATATTTTGAAAAATTGAAAAAAAGAAAGACGTTGATGTTGGTTGATTTTGCGCCTTTTTCAAATAATGCGCCCATGGCTCTCGCCATGCCTGCCATACCCTAGATACGCCACTGCTCACTATCCTCCCTCAAGAAGTCGTTCGGGTTTGACATGAAAAGAAATTCGCAATCTGCTGCTCACTTGACATCCACGCTGCTTACGACAATGTCAATCCTGCAGTGGACTGATCGTTAAGACACGGTTCCCTGCAGATCACCGAAGTCAAGCATCACTGTCTGCGATCAGTGTACGGGTGGGTGGCCACTTGGATCAGTCTGAGTAGGGACGGAGGGTGCGTGGTATTGGTCCTCGGTAAACTGTTCTACCGTAAAGTGCTCGACTTCACGTGCTGTTCGTCGGGCTACCGAAGCGGGGGTGCCATCCGCTCAGCAGGTGATCAAAATTGTGATGACCCAGACCGTCGCCAATAGCCCATTGTGCAGTTCTAGTGCGACGTAAATGAACTACAACTATAACAACGACAATGTCAACTCGGAAGCCTTAATCCTCAAACACTAAAAATCCGGCTTTGCAGGCAGAGCTGCTCTTCATCCCAAATTTTGTCAGACACAAAAAAAATTGCCATTGAATTCTCTATCAACCAATTTTCCAATGAGCACAGGGGTCAGTTCTTTCTCCTTTCCTCTTCACGATTTACATGTCTAACCTTCATCTGGGTCTCCCTGGTGACATACTATGACTGGTCTTTGAGGACAATATTTATCTTATTTGCTATCACAGAATTTAGTTACGAAGTGAAACGCAAGATGCAATGCTTTTCCCCCCTAAATTCAGAAATGGTGTAATATTTGGATGGAAAAGATTGGCCATCCACTTGAGGTATTTCAGGTGCATGGGATACCGTTTCATGCGCAGCCACTTGAGGTATTTCATTCACAGTCTGAGGCATTTCATAAACATCCAACGGAGGTATTTCATCAACAGTTTGAGGCAAGTCATTGGTATTGGATGTCCTTTCATCGGCAAACGGTGAAATTGCTAACGTCGAATCTTGCGTATCCTCAGGCTCTGTAATTTGCGAGTCATCATTCCAAACTTGATTTTCGACATCCGCGGCACTAGTCGAAAGAGCATCCATCTATTTATACGTGATTCTTTCACGCTGTACTTGTTGAATAAAAGATGCTATCCATTCGTAAAATGTAATGCCCTCTGCACAGGTTTTCAACACAATGCAACTCTTGTAAAATTTACAACCCTTTGTCTTTTGCAGCGCTGTTTGAAATTTGGCCTGCTGCATCGTGTACAAAAACTTGTCGTGCATCTCTCGCTTCCACCATCTCAAAGTGACAATCGCAATGTCTGTATTAATCAACTTTCATCTCCTTAGAATAGAATGGTATAAAGATCTCTTGGGTAAAATATCTTCACCCTTAACAATATTTTGTGCAATGCATCAAACTTTGTGCACTCTATAGGGTTTATTCATTTGACATAGCGCACCCACTTCCACCACACGCCAATAGATACATCCATCCTTTCCCACAACTCCAGATAGAGAATTGCTGGAATCCAAATACAGCTTGAACCACATTGTTAAATGATAAGCATGACTCGTTCATCAGAATCAAATTGTCACGAGTTTAATTTGACTTGTGAGATGTGAGGACCGACTTGCATTTATAAGACAATTTAAAAAAAAAAATTTTTTTAAGGGTATATAATGTTTTAAATAATTCAGAAGGATGCGACATTTTGTTCAAGATAATTTTTGTTATTGATCTCGTCAAAATTATTTACAGACATGTAACAGAATCAATGATATATTGGTTTAGAGTACATATTCAGGTAGCGTGAAATACCACCCATCACTGCGATCCAACGGTGACACTCCTCTCGACGGCAAGACTCACACCTTCCAATGGGCTCATGCAAAGTATCCAGAGTAACAATCTTAATTTCGTGAGCTGGATGATATTTTGGCCAAGTGTTCAAGATATCGATCCATAATTTCTGTGTCGTAGAGTCTGGTAAGACGAGGGTCGTTGCGTTCATGCTTAAAAAGTTTTTCTAAGAGCACATGCTTATCAATGGGTCAGTCGCCAGACTTGCAAACATGGCC